TGCCTGAAGACTGATCTCTCCCTACCATCAGTGCCATCTACCAGTCTTGAACTGGCAGGGTGGGCAGGGGTGGCCAAATAGCTTTCCTCCCCCATACGTGCTCAGGTCCCATCTGATGCTCGTGCTCTGGAAGCAAGCAACCAAGCCCCACAAGCAGCTACCCATCTCAGCTGGTCTTTGCTACTGCTCCTCAGATAAACACCGCTGGGTCTGAAAGATAAATGCACGCATGGCTGCTGCTCAAAGAAAAACATGCAAATACACTACATTTGGCAGGCAATGTAGTTGTAAGTTACATTTGTACCTTTGTTCCTTCTGCTTCGGGCCTGACATGCAGAGTGGCAGCCAAAACACATCTCAAAGATTAGGTCTGGTCTCAGAGTCCTAATCTTGCAAACACCTAAATTGCCACCTAATCTCAACGACTAGAGTATGGTCATGACTTGTTCGATGCTTGATGCATGGTATTTTGCTAAAACAGAGTCCACATACATGGAAAAAAAATAACCATTAAAGGACAAAGAAGACAGACAAATTTAAAATTGTCAGAGCGTATGCTTCAAAATAAATTGCAGCTAAATACTCTCGAATGTAACAGTATTTTGGATGTTAGTAAGACCATTCATGGATGAGAAAAGAAATTGGTATTGATTCTGCGGGTTCATGTCTCAATACATCTATAGGTTGTAAAAGTGCAGGAATAAATCTAATAAATTAATCTAGCTGAGTAATAATAAGTTCCATTAACACAGCAATACCTACCAAATCAATATGTATGAACAATTTCAGGCATCAAATTTAACAGAAATTCTTCTACAAGTTAGAGTGTGCTGGGATTTATTTATTTATTTATAACAGGGTGCTTAATTTGGGTAGCTTCTGTAGTGTATCTTAAAAGATCTCGCATGCTTACACAGGCACACAGCCCTTTTTTTCAAGTGAATTATTAGCGAATTATTTGGTGTCTTAAACTCAGCTAACCTCTTTAGAGCAGGAGAAATTCTGAATCCCAGAGATTTTGCTTAGTTAATGGAGATGCAACATAACTCTTCCACTTTGGGCAACCCTCCAACCACCACATGGCACTGCCTCTCACCCTGACCACTCCGCCTCACTCCTTGAGAGAATTCTGCTACTGAACGATTGTTCTGATGTCACCTTTTTGTGTAAATGAGAGAAAACCTGGAATTTTCCTTTTCCATGCCAGTAAGCGGTGCCTTCATACACGTACTACAGCCATTATACCACCTTGCCCCTGTGCTTCTAGTTAAGTCCTCCAAATGTCCTAGACTCCACCGAATCTCTTCAAAGGCTGCAAACTGGACCTGAAAATATGCTGAAGTATACTGTCAGAAAAATTCTGGGGAGTGAGCAGAGCAGCTTTGGTAGAAGAACCTGAAGAGGAGGCAACAGAGCAAGGTCTCTAGGGCCACGTACAAGCATTGTTCACTCTGGGAGGAACTGGACCACCCTTCTGCAAATGCTGATCTCTAAATTCCAGAAAAACAGTCATTTTTTGACAAAGCATCCCCCTCAGCACACCAGGCACCCAACAGCGGGGGGTCAGGTATCCAAAAATCTGACTGGAAGTTTGCTGTGCCTATCAGGTAGGTCACGCAGGAAAAGGAGGCACTTCAGTCTGACCATTACATATATTTGGGTGCTGGCTTTTTCCCCACCGCATTAGATGAAGCTTGGAAACTCGTTCTGCCTGACAGTACTTAATTCTCATACTCAGCCTGATGAAACTGATATCTACAATATTAAAGTTTTATTTCCTTCAAGTATCAAATCCCATACCCATTAAAATATTTTCCAGCTCCCTGCTCAACTCTTCCCAACCTGCTTGCTATTTGCTGTCCTTCCTCATTTCAATCTACCCAGGACAGTCCCTACAGACCTCAATATACTGGTAGTAGGGAGTTAAAAAACCATAATCAAAAGCATTTCATGTCTGTAGCAGCAGCAGAGAGAAAAGGGAAGGAGCAACAGGAAAGAAACACTTGCTCAGTTTCATTACAGCGTTCAGCTCCTAGTAGGAAGAGATTTCAGAAGGTAAATGGCCCAAATCAGGCTGCAGAAGCCACTGAAAACACAGAGCTATTTAAACTCCATAAAATATCTGGGGTTAGAATAATCACGAGGCAATTCATTTAATTTTATTAAATATTTTCCAGCATTTGTCTCATTGTCATAGGGGGAAAAAAAGCAAAGATCCATGCAGAAGAATATTGCACCCTGGGATAGCCACGGAGGCACCAAATCTCGGTAATAACCAGAAAGCACAGGACAGGGTACAGCTTATGCCTTACCCACCTTGGAGCATTAGGCCCCTACCTGCCAGTGACTCACTTCAGGCCTCCCCTGTCTGCCATTCATAGTCTTGAAGAGTTAGACATCTACCCCCTCTCTTCAAAAAAAAGGCAGAGAGAAGGGCCCCCAGCTT